TGTTGCCTCAGGTATGAGGCAGTCGTACTGTGTGTAGTGAATGAGGAACAAGGGCTAACACTGAGCGATGAGGATAAAGTAAATATCAGACAGCTGGGAGCTGCCTCATTTACAAAGCACCATCTATCCCGAACACTGAATAAGAGGGTGGTTGAGCATGTACCTGTAACTAAAGATGTATTATAATACAAATGAACGTGGGGGCAGAGTTAAAGTTGAATGGACAACCTTAACTTTAGCATTTTCGGACTTTTGAGTGCATCTCCTTTGTGACCCTAGCATTTTTTTTAATGTAGACCATTATATTATATGGATACATACATACATACATACAAAGGGGTATAGCATTTTTAAATTTATACACACACTGACCAGTCTCTTACTGGGGGAAAGTCATGATCTTCCAAGGTAAATATGCTGTTCTACACAATGCAGTTACTAACACAGGTGATGCAGTAAGATAGAAATGTAGTAGTATATTAATAACACACCTGACAAAGAAAATAGTCGGCAATTATAAAAGAATATATTGTCTCCAGGAAATTAAAGTCACATACAGTACATGACAGATTCTTGTCTATGTCTATGAGGGTTAGGGTGGGGGAAGAGAGAGAAAAAGACACACACATCAGTTAATGTAAAGAGATACACAATACTTATAAAAAGAACAGGAGTACTTGTGGCACCTTAGAGACTAACAAATGACTAGCTGTACATTTATATAGCTTCTCACTAAACTAGTGAGCAAATAGGAATTTAGTACCTTTAACGCTAGCTTTTTATATCCTGCTCCTGCATCCCACAGAGCTATAGTTTTGTCATATGCTCCAGACACTACAAGAGATGCTAAAATACAAAATTAGATGCCATATTATTTCTCTGGGTTTTTTCTATACAGACTAACAGAACAAGCCTCATCCAGACTTGAGTCAGACTGTTAACAGAATTTAAATAATCCACTTGCTCTAGCAAGGTAATGAAAGTCCCTGGATTTTTTTAATGAGTATAAACATAGGCATAAAATTCAGTTATCAAAAATACAACAGAGCTTACAAAGTAAAAGAAAATGCTGATGACATGAAATTTGATGAGACATTTTATTTTAAAAAAGTTAAAATAGCAAAAAGTTATTTTTAAAATTACTAAGCTTTGGCTAGAAAAACAACTACATTTACTCATTACTATAGCTTTTATTTTACTGGTAAGTTTAGTACTTGCTGCAGTTGAGAACCAGTGGATAAAATACACTTCATTCACTAGGACAGAGGTGGGCAAACTATGGCCCACGGGCCAAATCCGGCCCGCAGGATTGCCACCCCCATGGCGCCACGGACCCTGCGCCACTCCAGGAAGCGACTAGCACCACGTCCCTGCAACCCCTAGGGGAGGGGAGGCAGAGGGCTCCGCTCACTGCCCTTGCCTGTGGGTATCTCCCCCGAAGCTCCCATTGGCTGGGAATAGGGAACTGCGGCCAATGGGTGCTTCAGGGGAGGTACCCACATGTAAGGGCAGCACGTGGAGCCCTCTGGCCCCCCTTCCCAGGGCTGCAGGGACATGGTGCCGGGAGCAGCACAGGGCCAGGCCAGACAGGCCCTGGCCCCGGTGTGCGCAGCTGCCACCCCAGAGCCACTCCAGGTAAGCGGCACCAGGCCGGAGCCCGCACCCCGAACTCCTCCTGCACCCCAACTCCCTGCCCTGAGCCCCCTCCAGCACTCCGCACCCCTCCCTGCACCACTGCCCTGAGCCCCCTCCCACAGTGTGCACCCCAACCCCTTT